TTACAATTGTTGTAACAGGTTACTCCTTAGTGTGCCCTGAGCTTCTCCATCCTCCTGGCATCCCTCCTTCACCAGCTTCAGAGCCATTTTTCAAGGCTCAGTCTAGATGTTAGCTCCTCCAGAAGCCCTCCCTGACCCACCAGAGAGGTAGAATGGTCTATACTCAGTGCCCAGGGTGACTTGTAGCCCAGTGAATGGTGAAACCGTGGGCCTCGGACACTACTTCCTCCCTGAGCATTCCTGCTTGGCTTCCTTTGCTGCTCTTCCTACACATACAGAGGCCCCATCATCAGCCTTCATCCCTCTCACATTCAAATGCCATCCCTAGACACTATTTCCCATCTCAGTGATTTCAACCACCCAACATGCAGAAGGTTGCCAGATGTGTATCTCCAGGCCAGATCTCCCTTTCGAACAGCAGACCTGTGTTCAGATACCCACTAGACATCTTCACCTGGACACTCACAGGCACTGCTCATCAGCACGTCCAAACCAGAACTCACCTGTGTGCCCTGCCTCAGAAAACAGCAACTGCCATCCACCCATCCAGGCTAGAAACCAAAGGGCCGTGTGGACCCAGCTGGCCTCTTGGCCATCATGTGCAGTCAGCATCCCAGTCCCAACACCACTCCCGGAGAGCATGCTTCCTTTCCTCTCACCCTCTGGCACTGCTCCCCATGTCTGGACCTCAGTGTTGCCTGTCTGCATTGCTGCATTGCCACCATAGCTCTGCAGCCAGTCTTGCTCGAGCTGCTGTGATGGTGGTCCACACTGCGGCCTGCACCCACTCCCCCCACTTCCTTTCCCGAGTCCTCGCCCCAGCCATACTTGCCATTCCTGGCTCTGCCTCCTTCCTTTACCACTCTAAGATTTTGCATATGCTATTCCCTTTGCCTTGAATGTTTTCCCATCTCTTTTACCCTGGAAGACTCCAAGCTATCCTCCAAGTCTCATTTCAAGGGTCACCTGGCCTTGGCTGCCCCTCAGGGAAGTTTGGGTGCTCTTTTTCCCAGCCTCCATAGCCCCTCTGAACCTCTGTTTCCTCATAGGGAAGTGACAAACCCTACATCAGCCATTCGTTGGGAAGAACAAATGAGAGAAATTAGGCAGCATCTACACCACACCTGGACTAAAGAAGACACTCAGTCAGTAGCTTGGAGGTGAGAAGGAACATTCTGCCCCATCCCCAGGACAGTTGCTATGACCCCCACTTGAGGCTGACCTCTAAGTCTGACTGCAAGGTTGCTCAGGTCTTGCCAGCCAAGCCCATCCCCTCAACAAGAGAAGCTATTTTGAGAAGCTTCGTCCTCCAGAGAGTGAGGGTAAGAAATGGATAGATACACGCTTTAGACAACTTAGTCTAAGCTTTATCAAAACACAAATACACAATCTATCTTGGTGATCATTGTATCAGAGGATCTAACATATCCACTAGCACAAAGGCAGCATTTAATAAGTATATTCTTCATTCATTTATTCCACAATTCTTTATTGAGTGCCTACTGCAGCAGCTGGGTTCTAGGCACTGAGAACACCATAGTTAAAGCACTAAGTGCTTGATGTTCAAGAACTCTGTCCCTCTTAGTGCTGACATTCTATGGGGTCAGCAGACCAGACACAGAAAATGTAGTGATAACAAGTGGTACTGAAAATACTGACAGTGAGAGGTCAGAGTGTGACAGAGCTTGTCTCCACAGCTGTCAGCCAAGGCTTCCTCCATCTCTCATGGTGGACAGTGAACTATTCTTTTAGTGGCAAAGAGATTTCAGGCTGGGATTGAATCCTGGCTTTGCTGTGTACTGGCTTTGGGATTTCAAGAAAGTTACAGAAATTCTTTGAGCCTCAGTTTCTAATCTGTAAAATGGGGAGAATAGTACCTATGATAAGTGTTGGTGTGAGGATTTAAACAGATGACTTATTGAGCTCAGTTCTTGATAGACACACAAGCAGTAAATGACAACGCATACTGCTAGAGGATGTAGTTAAATCCCAGGCACAAAGTCCCATATGTCATCACCATCAAATCCGTCATCGTCACAATAACAACCTCAGGCTCATACTGTGTTCAGGCTGTTTAAGAATTTCCCATGGACTCCATTTAATCTTCAAACAACCCAACAATTATTAGCCTTATTTAATAGATGAGAAAACAGAGAGAATTAGACAGACTGAGACCTACAAAGGCTAAGTAGTTTGCCAAGGACACATAGCAAGATAGTGCCAAAGTCAGGCCCAGGTCCAAACCTTCCAATTCCCAGGCAATATACTTGCCAAGCAAGTTTCTTCTCCTCTGACACCGTATATCTATCAAGAAAATGGTTGTGAAGTGAGTTCCTGCATTCCAGCATCTACGGAGTATTCTGGGGAAGTTAACTGGGGTCTTCAGAAAGGGTTCTGTGATCAAATACACTTGGGAAATGTTCTTGGGTTGGGCAGGATTAGAAAGCTCTTTCCCCGGCGGGCACTGTGGGAGGCCTAGGAGGGAGGATCACTTGAGCTCAGGAGTTTGAGACCAGCCTGGCCAACATGGTGAAACCCTGTCTCTACTAAAAATACAAAAAAATTAGCTGAGTGTGGTGGTGGGCACTTGCAATCTCAGCTACTTGGGAGGCTGAGGCAGGAGAATCACTTGATCCCAGGAGGCAGAGGTTTGCAGTGAACCGAGATCATGTCATTGCACTCCAGCCTGGGTGACAAGAGCAAAACTCCATCTCAAAAAAAAAAAAACCTCTTTACTGCTCACCTTTTGGGAGAGATAAATATGCTGATTATGCTAATGAGTATGGATAAATATGCTAACTATGCTAATCAATTCCATGCTCCACATCAGCCACAGAGCCCTTCTTTCCCAAGCATGGCACTGGCTGTCCCTGAATGTCCCGAGGAGGTGCTGTGGGGCCAGCCTGCAGGCCCAACACTGTATTTTCCACATTGCCAGGATTCCCAGATCACCACTTCTTTGAAATTCATTGCTTCTCGTCATGAGCTCTATTTAAAAAAAATGAGAGAGCATTTTTAAGAAACATTTTTCCCAAGCCCTTTAATGTGTACATTCCCCATCTCCAAATATATACATATACATCCCTATTTCTCAGCTGGAATGGCTGTCTAAAAGATTTGGTCTCATGTAAATAAGCCTGGCTAGTAAGTACTTGTCTCACACCGATAATCCCATCATTAGAGAAGCAGGAACAAGGCCACACTTGGCAAAGCAGGTGGCCTCCTCTGGGGAGCAGCTCAAGTGGATGGAGGAGAGCTCCCAGTGCTGCAGCCCAAACACAGCTGCCCAATCAATCAGCCGGGAGTCTGTCTTCTGCTCACCCTTGCCTGAAATGTTCACCGTTAAGTGATCCCCCGAGTTAGATTAAGAAAAGCCTTTAAAATGCCTCACATTCTGCAGCTTTCACAGCGCTCCCAAACCCATTGTCCTCAGCTGGTCTCCCTATCCTGAAATCCCCCCTGCTTCTTTGCATTGTCCATGTTATCATTTAGATAACTTAGATTTACCACATGCAGGAGATGCCACCTTAGCAGACTGCAGCTGCTGCTAGAGGGGACAGTTCCTGGGCACCCTGATGGCTTCTCATCTCAAGGCCCTCTGAGGCTCAACTTCTCTACCTCAGAACTTCTCTGAAGCTACATTAGCTGGCTCAGCCCCTAACCTAGCAGTTCAGGAGAGTTAAAGTCTGCGGGAACCACTCTCAATGATGGGGGATGAGACTCACCAGGTTCGTCCCTCAGCCTCTTGGGCTTCAGGGCTGGTGTTGACTGCATTCTGCACAACTCACTAGGGTCTCCAACAGGGTTGAACCCATAGTGTGCACCAGCTCAAAAACACACCCTCAACCGGCTTTTCCTCTGTGAGGTTATAATTATCCTCAGTTAGTGGTAGTTACTGCTGGAAAAAGGTCACTCCAAAATTGTATTTAGCCCATAAGTGTACGAGGCAGTGACCCAGGAGGGGCTCTTCTGGGTTGAGCTAGACTGGTCTTGGCTGAGTTTGCTCATGTGTCTGTGGTCCAATGGTAGCAAGGCTGAGAGACTGTGCGAGGTCTCGGATAGCTTTGCTCACCTGCCAGGTGGTTGACTGCCTGTCCACTGGAGTGAAAGAGGGGACTGAGCCATGTGTCTTTTTTCCCCCCTGACAACAAAAGCCACATTCAAATGAGCCACGTGTCTTATGCATGTGTTAGAAGCAGGGTTCCCAGGAGCAGCCAACACCAGTCTGCAAGTGCCTTCCATGCCTCTGCCTGTGTCATGGTAGCTGGTGTGGCAGCTGTGAGAAGAACCTGGCAGACCTCCAACTACGGGACTATGCCTGACCGCATGAGTTTACTAGGACTGCTGGAACAGAGCACAGTTGTCCCTCGGTATCCATGGGGTTTCAGGACCCCAAGGATACCAAAATCCTCAAATGCTCAAGTCCTTGAAATAAAACGGCACAGTGTTTGCATCTGACTGCACACATCCTCCCATCTACTTTCAATCACCTCTAGATTACCTGGGGATGTGGTGTAAATGCTGTGTATAGATAGTTGTTACACTGCATCATTTTACTGATGGATTGTTATTTTTAGGGTTCTTTTTTCTTGAATATTTTTGATCTGTAGCTGCTTAAATCCAAGGATGCAAAACTCAGAGATTTGGAGGGCTGACTGTACCACAAAGTAGGTGGCTTAAACAACGCAAATGTATTCTCTCACAGTTCTGGAGGATAGATGTCCAAGGTCAAGGTGTCGTCAAGGTTGATTTCGTTCTGAGAGCTCCCTGCTTAGCTTGTACATGGCCACCTCGTTTCTGTGTTTCACATCATCTTCTGTGCATGCCTGTGTCCAGATTTCCTCTTTTTATAAGGACAGCCTTCATATTAAATTGGAATCCGTCATACTCCAGTAGGGCCTCATTTTAATTAATCATATCAACAAGGACCTTTCTAAATAAGGTGACATTCTGAAGTACTAGGGGTTAGGGCTTCAACATAAGAATTTGGGGGGAACAATTCAACCCATGTCCATGCCCATGCCCAGCTGCAGCACTCCGAAATTCAGCTCTGCACTGACTTCAAGCTCCCCACAAGCCGCTCCCAGCCAGTAACTGAGCTTGGCAGGGATACTGAGGCAGGCCTCTTCCTGGTAGAAATAAGGTTCCAGAAGTCCTGGACCCTGTCTATTTCTTTTTATACCTGCTTACAGTTTAGCCAGTTCTTTTCCACACTCATCTCTTTCTTACAATAGTGATCACGGGATACTAACGTTTACTTTCCCCGTCTTCTCACCGTAAGCTTCACGTTCCTTCAGTACATTATCTGCCTTTCAAGTTATGCTTACAACAGCTTTACCAAATATTTCACAGGTTACCGTCTTTCCAAACCTCAGTAACAATTCTTTCGCTGACTGCCATCTGGCCCCAGAGCCACATATTTTAGGGTTTGTGTTTTGGCAGCTCCCTACTCCTGGTGCCATAACACCATCTACCAAAAGAGGGGACTGAGCCATGTGTCTTTTTTCCCCCCTGACAACAAAAGCCACATTCAAATGAGCCACGTGTCTTATGCATGTGTTAGAAGCAGGGTTCCCAGGAGCAGCCAACACCAGTCTGCAAGTGCCTTCCATGCCTCTGCCTGTGTCATGGTAGCTGGTGTGGCAGCTGTGAGAAGAACCTGGCAGACCTGTAGACCTACAAGTCTACCTGTAGGTCATGAAATTATGTAGGGCTTCACCGAAACTGCTGTGGAGGGAAGGAGAGGAGCAATCGGAACGGAGCTCAGAGCGCTGCACTGGCAGAGTCATTCACGTGGGACTGAGAGAGCGCTGCTGGTCCACGTCCAAGGATGGGGACTGCTATGGTCTGAATGTCTGGGTCTCTCCAAATTGCATATGTGGAAATTTAATCAAGGTGAGAGTTTTAAGAAGTGGGGCCTTTGGGATCTGAGAAGGGCATTTGGGTAGAGCTCTTCTGAATGGGATTAATGACCTTATAAAAGAGATGAAAGGGAACTGTTGACCCCTTCCGCCATGTGAGGACGTAGCAAGGCACCTTCTCAAAGCAGAGAGCAAGTCCTCACCAGGACACTGAATCTGCAGATGCCTTGATCTGAGACTTTCCAGACTCTAAAACTGAAAAAAATAAACTTCTGTTGTTTATAAATTCCCCAGTCTTAGATTTTTGTTTGAGCAGCACAAAGGAACTAAGACAAAGGTCACAGAGACCATGGGGTGAGTCTCGAGACTTCCTCCAGCTCCAGTTTTCTGGTCTCCTGCTGCCATTTTCTGTCTGTAGAGAGGAACAAACACTTTCATCTTGCTTACCTGCACTTACGAAAAGTCAAACTGAGTCATGCTGAGAGCCAGGGAACATAAGTCTGTTCTGCAGAAGCAGTCAGCTAGTTGAAGGCAATGTGGAGGGACGGAAGAGAGCAGCGACGCTGGCACTAACTCTTTGACTATGGCATCCATTGTACCAGCTGCCATACACCTGGCTACTTCTACACTTTATCTCTATTCATCCTACAATCCATATTAGTTTCCCCACTTTCTAGAAAGGAAAACTCAGACCCGGAGGCACCAAGCAAGTAATTCAAAATCACACACATTATCTGTGATTAAGCCTGAGTTAGAACTGGACCTCGGATTTCCACATTTCTGCCCTTTTCATGAAACTGCCTGACTTTGATCCTCAAGTTTTTTCATCTATGACATGAGACTCCTAAACTAGAAATCTCTAAGTCCCTTTTACCTCTGGGATTCTGTGTCTCTAAGGATGAGAATAACAAACGTCCTTTGTCTCTAGCACTTCCCAACTCAGAGCCCTATCACGCTCATTACACCTAATCACTGCAGCCAGAAGCATTTAATAAAATGGATGGACTGAAATTGGGGGTGGTGGGGTGGGGGATGCTGCTGGTGTGGAGAAACAACTCTCTTTACTTAATGATGGCTACTATGATTTGGTTATAAATAACCCATGAAGACAATCAGGCTTCTCTGGTAGTCCCTGATTGTAGTGGATGTTGGAAAAGAGTGACCACAAAAATGCTCTAGGCTGATTGGGAAGGTGCCACTTATAAATCAGCTGGGCTGAGTGCATTGCATAAACTGAGCATTTAGCTTAATAATTTTAGCCAGTTGATTAAACACAAGAATATGGAAGCCTCCTGTTACTTCTCAGACGATAAGACAATGGCATTCCACGGCCAGTGTTTACTGTGGTCCCCAATGGGAGCTCCAGTTACTTCCCTCTGTACCTGCATCCCTTGGATCACCTGGTTGCACCAGACCCATCCTGACTAAAATCCCTGCAAAGGACCAAAGAGGGGAAAGGGACAAAAATCAAAAATAAATATCACCTGCTGTCTTTCCAAAGAATCCAGCAGCCTCTATCCATTCACCGTTCATTTAGTCCTCATTCCACACACTTTCCTCTTGCCCCTGCTGAATGCCAAGCACCGGGCTGGAACCCTGGGGACTAATGGAGATGGAATAGGAGAATATAGGCAAAGGAGTTCAGTTATTCCCATCCTTAGAGACACAGCTTTCTGTGAGCAGTTATTGATTAGAATATATACCTCAAGATTGTAGGATTATGTGCACCACTGCACCCTAGCCTGGGCGACAGAGTGAGACCCTGTTTCAAAAAAATTAAATTGTAGGATCATGGAGAAAGCATCTTAAGTGTCTGGTGCTGTGGACGGCAACACAGGCAGAAACTGGTGGCTAGGGAATCAGAAGTTTTTCAGGAGGGAGCGTTTGACATAGGCTTGGACTGAGCAGAATAGGGCAACAGAGAAACAAGTTTATGAATAATTCACTGACTTGGTGGCAGTTGATAACTTGAATCTTCCTTCAGATGATTGAAGTTAGTAGCCCAGCTATGAAAGTCAAGGTTACAGATGTCTCAGTCAGAGCTTGCAAATGTGTGGACGAGGCTCATCCATATGCAGAGATGGGCTTCTGCCAAGTCATGAGAGTTTTGGTCTGTCTCCTTCTCACTTCTAATGTCTGTGCCTACATGCTTGAGTCCAGAGTGCTCATGCAAAGAACAGGACCCTGGAAAAATCACACCAGGGTTTGGTTCTAAGCTTAGCCATTTTCTTTCTTTTTTTTTTTTTTTTTTTTTGAGTCTCACTCTGTTGCCAGGCTGGAGTGCAGAGGTGCAATCTAGGCTCACTGCAACCTCTGCCTCCTGGGTTCAAGCAATTCTCCTGCCTCAGCCTCCTGAGTAGGTGGTACTACAGGCATGCACCACCATGCCCAGCTAATTTTTGTACTTTTGGTAGAGACGAAGTTTCACCATGTTGGCCAGAATGGTCTCAATCTCTTGACCTCATGATCTGCCTGCCTTGGCCTCCCAAAGTGCTGGGATTACAGGTGTGAGCCACAGTGCCGGCCAAGGATTAGCCATTTTCTAAGCATGGGAACAAAAAAAAATTACGTAACCTCTCTGAGTTCCAGTTTACTTGTGTATAAAATGGGGATAGTGATACCAGTGTTACAGGGAAATTGTGAGAATGAAAACAGTTTAGGAGAGGTTAAGTTGTCCTGGGGCCACCTCTGTCATTGCAGTGACCACACTCTGTAGTGAGAGCACCCTTGAGAGCAGAGCTGCTGTGTGATTCATCGCTGAAGCCCTGGTTCTTGGAACACTTCCTGAGAGCCATAGGCACTCAAGAAACATTTGGTAATATTGTGGTAGATCATAATATTGTATTATTATTCAGCAAACATCTGTTTTCCCTCCTTTTCATGGAAGTGATATACTTCCCCGCTCCACTGACATTAGGCTTGGCCACATGACTTGCTTCAGCCAATGGAATGTGAGTAACTCAGTGAATGCCACATCCAAGCAGAAGCATTAAAGATAAATGTTCCTGCATGGCCTCTAGTGATCCTGTCCTCCAGCATGAGACAAGCATGCTTCAAATAGCTGCTGCTACTTCCCTGGATCCTCTCCTGAGAGCCAAGTGAAGCAAATAGGAACCCAATTCACCACCTAGATCCAGGCCCATCTGAATCTAGCCAAGCCCCGAAGAGCCCTGTAGAACCACAGCTGACCTACGGATATGAGAAGTAAATGCTTGTTGTTGGTAGCATTAAGATTTTGGGATTACTTGTTATGCAGCATCATCACAACAAAGCCTGACTAATACATTGTACGAAGTTAACTGAGTGCTGACAATGTGCCAAGTATTGTTCTAAGTGCTTTATACAAAGAATCCCATCTAATCCTTATAGCATTGTGTGGAGTGGTGTGATAAGTATCCCCATTCAACAGATTAGAATTGAGGCATCTAGTCAATCCCATTCATGTTACTCCTCCCCACTTACTGCATCCAAATGAACCAAGCCTGTGAGCAGAGTTCGCGCCAAGGGCTGGAGACAGCAGCGTGACTTGCCTCAGTTTGGCTGCCGGACCTATCTGCACTCTCCATCTCGAGGGCTGTCAGGTGAGACAAAAGGCCACGGGCTGAGTCACTGAAGCAACAACAGAATGCAAAGCAAAGGTCTGCAGTTTATGAGGACATTGTGCTGTCTGTTTCCATGTCCCCATCAGTCTCTGTGTAAGCAATAAACTTGCTGCAATTGAGATGTCAAAGAGGAGCAGAGACCTCTGCCTATATTTTCCCTGGAGCCAAGCCTTTGTTTTAGCTCCTGATGAAAAACAGGTTTAACCAGCCACCTTAAGGGCGCCATTGTATCTTTGAAATGTAAAATCTTTGAAATGTAAACTACTACCACAAGCCCCCTTAAACTGCTTTCTGAGCAGATATCACAAGCCCCTGATAACTATTTTTTATGGAGTTTCTATTTCCTTTCTGTTTACCCCTTTCTTTCTACTGAGATAAAGTAAATGTAAACAAGAAAAAAGGTATAAAAGCTGTAACCCGCAAAAATAAATTTGCTGTGTTTTGACCATAATTTTCACGCAGCCCTCCAGACTCCACTTTCCTGTATTCTTTCACTTCCGCGCACTCTCTCTCTCAGGTTGAACGAGACATCTACGTTGGCGGTCTCGGGGACTCCCGCAGGTCGGTAGTCCCCTGGCAGACGTGCTGGACCCCGACACAAGCCTCCTGTGTTCATTAGAACCATAGACCAAGCCTGCTGGAGAAAGACAGGGCTGTGGAGATGGG